ATGGTGCGGAAACGTTGCGCCGCGGAGGCGTAGCAACAGTTGCGGCATACGAGAGAGAATGCCCAGATACTTCTTCCTTCGTCTTTCCCGTTATCGCTCCGCTCCAAGGCCACGTACTCGCAGATTTCCTCTAGAATTAGAAGAGGCAGAGTTTCCAATGAGCACGTTGTAACACTTCGTTGAACGTCTCCGGTCATTTTGGCTTGGCGGATTAATTGATGTCTTTTGAATAATCGTACTTAAAAGATACAATATCAGGCAGAAGGATGATTTTAGGGGCGGAATTTGCCGTTGTGTTCAGGCTTGAGTCCATGCAAGCCGTGTACTATTGGATTTGGGCGGCGAATCAATGTTGAGCTCAGCTTTGGTAGAACTTCGTAATTTGTGAATCAACGTCCCAAGTTATAGAGCGAATAGAGTTCTTCTCCTTTACCTTTAAATTCTAGGCAGCAAAGTGACGAGATTACCTATAAAGGTAGCAACCCCGAACATGCATAAGGCTTAAAAGGGTCGACAATTCATGCCTTTGTCAGTAAAATAGAGCGGGGAAACCATAAAGGATGTTCTGCTCAGTACCTATACAAGACATCTTACGCTTCCAAGTATTTTCGAGTAATCAAGACATGGGGAAGAAAGTGATCTAATATAATGAAATAGATCTAAGCTAATTGTAAGAAGTCTCTGCTAAAGCTGCCCATTTTTTGTGAAAGAGTCTATCACGAGAAAGAAAAAATAACATATCCCTGCATTATTTGCGGATATGACTAAGCCGAACGAGCCACTCAGGGGCTGGTTCGCCTCAGCCACTAACTTCACTCGACTTCACCAGAGCTTAAGTCTTGACATTCTTTTAGAATATATATACTTCTAGTCTTTGATGACTTCGCCTTCCTTACCGTGGTACTTCTCGAAGCGAAGATTACCGAGATTATGTTCCCCCTGCCATTCTAGAGGAATGCAGATACCAAGAGTCGTCTAGGGTGTGTTGTTATACAAGTCCTTGTTAGGGGATGGATACCCTGAAGGTAGGTGATTTTCGTAGCCTTCTGAATGAGAAGATCCTTCAACATCGCTACATCCTATTGTTACGGCTTTAACTGTAGGTATATGGGTCTCGAGTGTGGCGCCACTCCTGGCACTTGGATGGAAAGGGGGGGAAGGGGTATCTATCTAAACAAGAGTTTTGAAAGATCAACTTCATAAACCCGAACGACAGCGGGGATATCTTGATCTATGATGACATCGGGGGGTCTTGGGTGATAAAAGGACTGTGTGATGATCTTCTTGAGTAGATTCGGGCGCTGAACTTCTGTGGCAGCCGTATATCAGACCATCAACCTACTGCTACTATCACTTATCAGCAGCTATGGCATGCTACGGTTGAAGTGAGTTATGCGGTGATCTAAGATAAATAGAGGCCTATTCAAGGTAAAGTCCCTCATAATATGAAGCTAACCGGAAGGATGCGGTGTAGTGGCTGCAGTCCACGATGGATGTAAGTGGCAAGGGGCACCACTTTTTCATAGTCAGTCACATGACCCTTCACTCATCAACGTATATATAGCGACGTTATTGTTACGAACGAACAAACGGCTGCAGTACCTCTAGTCCAAAGGTAAAAAGTAAAAAGTCATGATGAATTTTTTTTTTTCAAAATGGGGGGAGGGGGAGGGATTTTGCTATTGCAGCCACTTTGTTGATATAGTCCATATTGATAAACTAGCTTGCTGCCTATTAGTCACCAAGAACCAAGCTGAGAGTTGGATGCAGGCCAGGGGGGTGAGGGGGGAGGTTTGTAGTATAAAAGGGGGCATACTCCGCTTACCATACGAACTCTCACCTACCTTCCTTTCATCCTTTTTCGTTTTTCCTATTTAGCACAGTCCACTCCCTGATCATCGCCTTTCTCTACCACTATGGCCCGTACTAAGCAGACGGCCCGAGGCCGTTACAATATTAGTCCACCACTCATAGGTTGTTGGTACCCCTTCAAAAACCCAGTCAACGCCTCGCACATTCGTCGGTTCTATCTTCCCCTATCGAGCCTCAAAGCTCACACTATCATCAAGGATGTTGCCTCACGTACTACTCTTACCCAAACATTTTCGAACGAGACCAACGAAGATTTAGAGGATTTGGTTTATTCGTTCCCAATCTATGGTGGTGTTTCCATCGTTTCCTTTACTACTACTGTTGGCGATATTGAGATAAATGGCATTGTCAAAGACAAAACGCAAGCTCGTCTCAAATTCAAAGAGGCTGTTTCCAAGGGGAAAGTAGCTGCCCTCCTAGAGCAGCTGCCTGAAGCTTCCGATGTTTTTACTACACATATCGGCAACGTCCCAGCAGGCAGCAGTGTTATCGTCAAGCTCGTATATATAGGCGAGTTGAATTACGACGCTCAAGTCGACGGCTTACGTTTGACGATCCCTTCTCTGATTGCCCCTCGTTATGGGGCTACCCCAGATAACGTTCTTAGCTCGCCTTCGTTCTCTTCGACCGTTCAAGACGCTATTCAGATCATTGTAGATGTTCAGGGTCCCGAAGGTTGCCCCATTCGAAGTATTCAGTCTCCCAGTCACCCTATCGCTGTGAATATAGGGCGTACTACCGACATGCCTACTGAAGCTTTCATGCCCCACCGTGGATCTGCAACGCTCTCACTCAACTATACCAGCTTCGACAAAGACTTCATTGTTATGGTCAACCTTGAGAATGGGAACGTGTCCAAGGCGTTGCTCGAGACACATCCCACTATTCCGAACCAACGGGCATTGCTGGTTACTCTAGTGCCGAAGTTTCAATTACCGTCTAGTCCCAGCGAGATTGTCTTTGTTATCGATCGATCTGGGAGCATGGGTGGCAAGATGGGCATGGTAATACAGGCAATGAACACGATGCTCAAATCTCTCCGAGTCGACGTCAAATTCAATATCTGTTCTTTTGGGAGTAACTTCTCGTATATCTGGCCACGCAGTAAACCATACAACGAAGTGAATCTCGACGAGGCATTAAAATACGTTGATGCTATGGATGCAAACTTCGGCGGGACCGAAATGATACCGCCAATTCGAGAGACACTCTCCCGGCGTGATCAAGATCTGGTGCTTAATGTCCTCATCTTAACCGATGGAGAAATTTGGAATCAAGATGTCTTATTTAAGATGATTCGTGACTCTGCAGAGCAATATGGCAGTCGCTTCTTTTCCCTTGGAATCGGTCAGGGGGCTTCGACGTCGCTCGTGCAGGGCATAGCTACCGAAGGGAATGGAACAAGTCAATTCGTCGCTGAAGAGGAACCAATGGACAAAAAGATGGTTCAACTCCTCAAGAGTGCTTTGTCGCCACACTTGGCTGACTATTCCCTTGATGTGAAATATAAGAGGGATGACGAGGATTACGAGATGGTTACGTATGAGGACGCATCCAAGGTTGCCATCACTTTGCCTGTTCGAGAGAAGAACAAGGGCGCCGATAAAGCCGCAATGACATTCACTAGTGAAAGTGGTGATGTAGATGAGGATCGCACAGAGGGCGTGGAGAGAGATAGATTCGCCCACGTACCCATAGTCTCAGCCCCATCGATTCTCCAGGCGCCATTCCGAGTTCCTCCATTTTACTCGTTTTCGCGACTGACAATATTCCTTTTGCTCGACTCAAGCACCTACGGGCTTACGCCAGAGTCCATAATCCTTCGAGCAATTTCTAAGGATGGACCAATCAAGTTAGAGATTGAAGTAGATGACGTCGGCAGAGGAGAAACGATCCATCAACTTGCCGCCAAGCAGGCAGTCTCAGAGCTGGAGAAAGGTCATGGCTGGCTGAGCAAAGCCACTCAAAAAGACTCTAACGTACTTCTGAAGAGTGAATATGAAAGCCAATGGGATGAAATAGTCGAGCGCGAGGCCATACGTCTTGGTGTTACGTATCAGGTCGCTGGGAAGTGGTGTTCATTCATCGCGGTGGAGGGGGACAAAGAGCACCAGCCCATTTCGTTTACCGGCAAAATGTACCAGAGGTCTTCACCACCTCCGAGAAAACAACTATGTGCCAAAGCGGCCAGAAGATCAGCCCCGACAAGACCAGCCCCGGCCAAAAGATCAGTCCCAACTAAGAGGAAATGCGAAGATGCACCACTGGAGAAAAAGACCAGGTCCTCAAGCCCCTCACGAAGAAGCGCCCGCCTCCAAACGAAAGCATGTGACGAAGAGAAACTGCACGCTCTTATCCGGCTTCAGAAATTCGACGGATCTTGGGAATGGGAAGAGTCCCTGCTTGACATCACGGGTGCCAACTTATCCAAAGCTAAGACACCGATTCGACAAAACTCCATCGTCGCTACGGCTCTAGCCATTGCTTTCTTCCGCACCCGCTTAGCTCACGAGGCCGGTGCTTGGGAACTTGTCGTGGATAAGGCAGACTGCTGGCTGGCTGGGCAGCACAGCACGGATAACGAGAAGGAGGTCCAAGAAGCCGGCGCACTCCTATCTTAGTGTTTGTATCCATGAGTAGAGTCTCTGGTGGCGCCCTTTTGGATGGTCTTAATGAGTTTTCACATGGCTACAATGTGTGAAACAGTTAGATAGACATCATCCGCTAAGCTAGGAACGGAACATCACAATAAAACCTGGTATACTATTAAATTGACCTATCGTCGTCAAAGTTCGCTTGGTGAGCCCGTCTAGTCCTTCCCTATCGCCGAGGGGAAATAGCCACTTCCTCATAATATCGATATCAATATTGAGGTACCTTCGCGACATCATCTGGAACGGCCAGAAAAACCAGACCGGTTCGGGTGAGTAAATACTCGATGGCGTTTGGCAGTGTTAGCGCTTCAGTTATCTGGCCCCCAACATCCCGAGGCGCAACGACACCTATTCGCAACGTAACCCTACCTCGAAATCTGCAGCCGGCTTCGGGTTTGATGTTATTCCTTATTGTATGTTAAGTAGAAAGACTGACAGAATATTTTCAAGAAGAAAAAAACAACAGAAAACAATCTCTCGATCGGGGAATCGAACCCCGGCCACCTGCGATTTACTATTTCATGAACTCTGACCCACGACCGCGGATTCGAGACCATTAAGTGACAAGCAGGTATCCTTACCACTAGACCAATCGAGACTACAAATTAGACCAATCAGATGAACTTATTGTGATTCGAGCACAATCAAAAATAAAGCTATATCCCAACGCGGATCGAAACAATCGAAGACTTAATTGTCTTGTGTAGCTAAACCTTACACTTTAGCATTTATCACTGCAGCTTTCCTATGTGACAAAGGAAATCGAGAGACTGAGCGTCTTGGAAATTATGCAATGTAGGTGCGCAAGGACTCTATACCCCTTGGTAACTTATCATAGACTTATGCCAACTACTAACTGGGTATGTTTGCGATATCGTGACACTTAGATGGCTAGCAAAGGTTTCCCACAAACAAAGTAATGATTGAGCCATAGACCGCCAGGTAAGGGTGAACGATAGGTCCCGAGTATAACCTAGGAGGTAAGGGAAGATGTTCCTAGGCGCTTGCGAATACCTATATCGGATTAGCAGGGCGTTTTGCGCAGAAGCATCGAGTATACTTGCCTTCGTTCAAATCTTCGCCAGTGACGTCAGCGCGCAAGTGTATCTATGCGTACAAGAATGCGTAAAAGCACATATATTGAAACGAAGCAATAAACCCCAAACAGCAATGACTGAGACCACGGCCAATTCTTGGGTGGTGCATTGTATGAGCTTGATCAAGTTTCATCGAGACACATGACATCGTTTTGTAATGTATAAATCAAAGGAGAGGGTGTTTTGTATACTGCCAACAGAGACAATCCATTGGAGACAGGGGGTTCTCGCGTAAACCACATGTGCGCCTGTACCTTGATAAGACCCTGGCTGGCCACGCTGCCTGTACTAGCACACACGTACTTTAAACGCCTGTGCACCGCGCCCGCATCGCGACCGATATATTGCAGATTATATAGTATACTTACTGCACAGCAGAGACGAGTACATCCAATAGGTCAATGCTAAAGCGGGCTTTAACCCAAGATTCGTGTGTAATAAGCGGTTCCACTGCTCTAGGTGTAGCTAAAGTCATCTGTGCAGCGTGTCGGAGCTCCCCAGTTCTTCTGCTGGTCTCAGTGCGGAGATGGAGATAGAAAAAGTCCGGTGGTCCGTTGCGATACGGAAAATGTTACATTCATCGTCACAGCGTTCGGATCGCCTTGGCCTACATGTACAGTAGCTTCAATGCGCTGTCAGGTATCAGCTGAGTTGTGTAGGAAAGGCTGCAGAGATAGGGAAGGCGAAAAAGCTGGTAAAATCGTGAGCGCTCGCGCGTTAACCGATCAAGACTGAAAAGGTTAGTGAAATGAGTGCGAAGGGAGCTGGCCTTTTTATTATTATTCACTGTTGTTTCCCCCCTAAGCAAGGGGATTGTTGTTCATGTCTTGGCGCACTGAACATTGCTCATCCCTCTGTTCGCGATTGTGCTGCAACAACTACCGCCATCTCTAACCCCTTACGTAGCTCCAATAGCGGTGAAGTGGTGAAGTGGCACGGATAGTTTATGCTTGTGACACTTGCCTCTTCAGTCGTGGGGCTGGCCACCTATCGTTCTCAGAGGTATGATACGTGTCGGCAGGCGTAATATCGAAGACATTGGTATCGAGTCTATAGGATCTATAGGAACTACTTCAGCCGCAACGTGTGGCAAGCCGGGAGAATAGGGAGGGAGGGAGAAAGCACGCGTCTTGGGTTGTCGCACAATGTATTTCTAAAGTCGAGACACGAAAGGGTGACGCGATAGTAAGACTATAGTTTTATCAATCTGAAGAAAACCTGATTGCTCCCAGTCTTGGCTGCGGCCCGTCAGGTTGCCTCCCTAGCTTTGTTGTGGTCAAAACCGTGCTTATCCTTATTGCGCGCGGGCCGCAGAATCAGCCGGACCGGCTATGGTGACACGGCACAGACTTTTTAATGGGGGCCGGGGATGACATGGACGAGGAAAAGTGACTGTACCTAGAGGATTATGTTGAATGAGGCGGACAGTTCGTTCTATTTCCGTCGCTTGGAGCAGCATCTATCAGCATGCGTACAACCCTGCCCCCACCGCCAACAATACCACATAAAGAACCTCAGATTAGATCAGGCACTCACTGCCTAATGCTGGTCAAATATAAGCAACGTTAGTAGTGCTCTGTGTTAGTTTGACATGATCAATAACATTTACTGTGGCATTGCATTGACGCACGTGGAGCGATATTACCTCGAGATAGATGATCTACGGATGGATGGGGATCATCCATGATTCACCGCCATGCGTCCACTTCAGGACAGGATCCCCTCAGTCGGTCTTCACATACTCTACGAGCCGGAGAAGAGCGAAAATGCCCTTATCGAGTGAGTATTCTCATTCTCGTGTCGATTAGCGGTCACCAATTCACGAACTTATGGTCCTCTTTCAGCGTCGTCTTCGTACATGGGTTTGGAGGACATCCGATGAGAAGCTGGCAGTACGATGACCGGACAATACCTAATACCCGAGCGAAGACTGTCTCGCCCGCGCGTGAGAGGCCGCTGAAACATTTACTCAGGAAGACGAGGCCTCCGGACAAAACAGCTCAGTCGATTATAGAGGTTGCGAATACGCGGAACAATTCGAGGCATGTTGAGCTAGATGCCTCCTCTCGAGTGTTCTGGCCTCGGGACTTATTGCCTATGGCATGCCCGGAGGCCCGGATCATAACCTTTGGGTACCATACCCTTCATAGTGGCAACCAACCGGTCGCTTCCCAGCCCGACCTCTTCGCTCACGTGAATGACCTGCTTCGAGATCTTGGCAGTCTTCGACATGGTGGTGGTGTACAACAAAGGCCATTGGTTTTTATTGCGCATTCCCTTGGAGGCGTCATTGTAAAGGAGGTGTGTTTGCAAATACGATATTTGTATGCAGAAATACTTATGATTAGTTAGGTGCTGCGCGAGGCCGAGTCTAGTAACACGCAAAACCAACAGGACATTCTAAGCTCTACAGCCGCGATCATTTTCTTCGGCTGCCCGCACAGGGCCGTAGAGCAAGTGCCGCTGGCAGACACGGTTGTGTCGATGGCGGAGGCGTCCCTGAGCATCAGAACAGAGAGCTCGGCACTATCTGCTTTGTGCGGTGTTAATAATACTAGATGGGTAGGAGCCCAGGAGTCATTCGTTCGGCTTTGGCATTACTTCAACTTCACGGTCAAGACCTATCAAGAAAGACAAGGAGGCTCAAATAAGTTAATCGTGGGTCTCGACCTGCTTCTAGTTAACCGTTAGCATTGAGCTCACCTATCTGCGTAGAATAGTCGTGTCGAATCGAGTAAGCTTGGAGATGTGAGAGAAGACGCAGAGAGCTTACCCGCGAACCACCGGACAATGTGCCATTTTAACTCGGCGAATGATGCCGGTTTCAAATCACTATCCAGAATCCTTCAAGGTATTGTGAAGGATGAAAGGTCCAAGGTAGGATATCTTTGTCGAATACCTGTTAGAGTATATGGCTAATAGGAGATATTAGCGTCGAGGGCTTAGCGTTGAAGAAATAAGTACGCAAGTATTGCTCCCATGTCCTATGTTCAAACTAATAAGAACAAGACTGCTTGCGACGACTCGCAAACCACCGAGTCCACGGCTCTCAGTCGTCTATCGCAGGGTGTCCCTTAGGTACATGCAAGGGAATATGCAGCACAGAGGAGTTTTGTGATTGGTATCGTCGACAAGGAGGTAGCAATGAACGCATGCTCTGGCTGACAGGTGCGTTAGGCTCGGGAAAGTCGACGCAGTTGCGACATGTTAGGTACCAAATGGAAAAGCAATGGAGATCTGCTACGACGTCAATTATATACTGTACCGCGGAAGGCCAGGATTTAGACCGAGCCCCAGTGTCGGAGTCGAAGCTGGGTAATATACGGTCTGTCACGGTTATCCGTTCTATTCTCTCTCAACTCTTCGCGCAAGACCTGAATCTTCGCCAAAGACTTTCCAGCATATGCCAAGGAAGCATCAGTGATGCCGATTTGACTCGATTCTTTCTCGATGACTACATTATAAACGAGCCTCGGACGTTAGCAAGAAGGACATTTATCTTAGTTGATGCTGAAGATAGTTGCGACGATGAGTATATCCGGGAGCTCATGTATTGCCTATGTCAAATGGCACAGAGTTCAAATTTTAGCGTGTGCCTAGCTAGCCGACCAATTAGCGACAATGTTCCGGCGAATATAACCCAGTTAGAACTCGAAAATCATAACCTCGAAGATATTGTACGGCTAGTACAGTCCCGTCTGAAGGCGCGTTGGGAGGGGTGGTCCATTACAGCGAAAGAGATCGCTGAGAAGGCCGGCGGTAGTTTCCTATGGGCACAATTTGCGACTAACATCCTTAACGGAGTCATTGATGGTGGCGGAGAGCAGGACCTGGTGAACAAGACCCTGGGAGAGCTCCCCACAGACCTATACGGCCTATATGAACTGACCTTAGGAACCCTCTCACCTAAAGAAAAGGCGGAGGCAACGACTATAATGCGGTGGGTCATGTTGTCGTCGGAGCCTATGCTGCTTAATGATTTGCAAATGGCAGTTCGCTGTAAGTAATCCTCAGTATTATCATCCTCTTGTTCTGGCAGTATTCAGAGGGGCAAAGGCTCCTTTTCGGACCAAGGTCATACCCTAGAAGCCCCACGTTATCTCGAGCCACCGACAAGGCACGCCTAGGATGGGTAGATGCTGATAGCGAATGTTGTAGTGGGCCGTACGCGGTTTCTCCTCTGCTGCGACGCGGAAACTGCAATGGATGTTGGGCTGCCTTGGTCGATGCAAGAACTGCAAAAGACGGGGAAGCATTTCGACACCCCCTCGCAGTTTTACCAATGGCTTTGCTCACGGACGCGTGGCCTCCTGGAGGCAAGGCCGGTGGATGACGAGGGTAAAGCGCAACAGTCGCTCGGACTCCAGCATGTTTATCCCATAAATGAGTCTGTTAGATCGTTTTTCTTGTCCGGCAGGGGCTTCGCTGCGCTGTCCTCGGGGCGAGCAACGATCATACCATCCAATCACGAGGCCGTTCACCTCTGCCATTATAGTCTTCT